CGCACAAGGGGTGAAACCAGCAGAGAGGTTTGGGGTCCAAACACTCCAGAGTGCACAGACTGACCTCGGCAGCCAAGAGGGTCCTACCCAGCTGTCCCCCGCCTCATCCTCTGTGTCCATGCAGGGAAACCACATGTGTATGCCATGTGTACAGGCCCCGGAGGTGCCATCCAGTGCTGGAGATGACCCGCTGTCCACACCAGAAATGGAGGATGGGGGGGCAGGCAAGAGGGAGGTCAGTGCACTAAGGGCCTTGAAAATCGGACACGCACGGAGAATCCAGGGTTTTCAAAGGGTATCTCTCTGTCCCCTGCAGAAAGGGCACCTTGCGATCCACATTAATGCAGCTCACTGAAAAATGACAGACATAGGTTTGTATCCTTAGCCGTGGCTCAGGCAGTCCGCCCCACAGACAATATTAGGAACTGTCACCCTTGGCTCCAGGGGGGTCCGGGAAGGCACACAGGGCCTTCCTGGGGAGGGGAGCCCCGCAGGAAGCCCTTTCCATATTTTCCTTTTTTTAAATTATTTACCTGTTTTCTATCTTTTCATCGTAACAGTATTCATTGTTTTTGCACCACACCCAGTGCTCCATGCAATCCGTGCCCTCCTTACTACCCACCACCTGTCTCCCCCAACCTCCCACCCCCCGCCCCTTCAAAACCCTCAGGTTGTTTTCAGAGTCCATAGTCTCTCATGGTTCACCTCCCCTTCCAATTTCCCTTAACTCCCTTCTCCTCTCCATCTCCCCATGTCCTCCATGTTATTTGTTATACTCCACAAAGAAGTGAAACCCTATGATAATTGACTCTCTCTGCTTGACTTATTTCACTCAGCATCATCTCTTCCAGTCCCATCCATGTTGCTACAAAAGTTGGGTATTCATTCTTTCTGATGGAGGCATCATACTCAGAGTGTATATGGACCACATCTTCCTTATCCATTTGTCTGCTGAAGGGCATCCCGGTTCTTTCCGCAGTTTGGCGACCGTGGTCTTTGCTGCTATAAACATTGGGGTAGAGATGGCCCTTCTTTTCACTCCATCTATATCTTTGGGGTAAATACCCAGTAGTGCAATTGCAGGGTCCTTATTCGACACAGCAGGCATGACTTGGGTGAGGGGCAGAGGGAGAAGCACTCCCCCTGAGCAGGGAGCCTGATGCTAGGTTTGATCCCGGACTCCAAGAGCAGGACCTGAGCCGATGGCTAATACTTAACCCCCTGAGCCACCCAAGAACTCCTGGAGCAACTTTGTGAAACAATCTCGTATAAATAGGAGTTTTCCAGAGTAGCAGATAGTAAAATGAACATTTCAGTCTCCTAGGTACCCTCAGGAGTATCCTTTTTTTAATGTCCAAAAATGGAGTTAGTTAACTTACAGCGCAATATTGCGTTCTGCAGTACAATTCAGGGACTCATCACTTCTCTCCACCACTCAGAGCTGATCACAAGTGCCTTCTTCAATGCCCATCATCCATCGACCCCTCCCCAACCCACTTCCCTCCAAGATCCCACAGTGTGCAGGAATGCCTTCACCCTGAGAGTTCTGTCATGAGTCATCGCCACGGTGAGCTGATGACACACATCCAACCTTCCGTTTCAGCTGTCACTATGTGAGCCGAGCTCCTGGCAGTTTGGTGAGCAGGAGTAAAGCTCCCCATGATGGAAAACCTCAGCTGCTGTTGTACGGGTATGTGCCTATCGATGTTCTCAATTCTCTTCTCTCAAGCTGGCTGCCTCCCTTTTAGAGAGACAGGCTTCTTCTCTTTGGCTTTTCCTTTCCACCCTCTGATTTCTCCT